CCCGGGCTGCTGGATTTATGGGATCTGTGCTCAGGGAAGGCTCCAGCTCCCATCCCACAGCCTGGAATCAGCTCTGCCTCAGCCGGGACGTGGGGATGGCAGAGGCGCCATGCCCAAGGCCTTTTCCCAAAATGAGCCAAGGCAAGGAGCCAGGCACGGCCTGGGATGGGCACGGAGCCCCTGGGATGGGCACGGAGCTCCCGAGACGGGCACGGAGCATCCGGGATGGGCATGGAGCCCCCGGGACAGGCACGGAGCTCCTGGGACGGGCATGGAGCATCCGGGACAGGCATGGGGCCCCTGGGATGGGCACGGAGCCTCCAGGACGGGCATGGGGCCCCCAGGATGGGCACGGAGCCCCTGGGATGGGCACGGAGCCCCCGGGATGGGCACGGAGCCTCCAGGATGGGCACGGAGCCCCCAGGATGGGCACGGAGCCTCCAGGACGGGCACAGAGCCCCCAGGACAGGCACGGAGCCCCCAGGATGGGCACAGAGCCCCCAGGATGGGCACGGAGCCTCCAGGACGGGCACAGAGCCCCCAGGATGGGCACGGAGCCCCCAGGATGGGCACGGAGCCCCCGGGACGGGCACGAGCCCCCAGGACGGGCACGGAGCCCGGCCAGAATCCGCTCCCTCAGGAGGCGCCTGGACGGCCCTGCCAGCCCCGGCACCGCTGCGGTCCCGGAGCCCCCGGCTCTCCCGGAGATCCGGATTATTCCCAGCCTGGCTCGGGTCATTTTTCCATCGGGTTGGGGTTCTGGGCCCGAGGCGGCCGCCGGCTCTCCCGGGGCTCTCCGTGGTTTGTGCTAACAGTCACAGCCGGGGGTGCCCACCAGCCCCTGGCACGGAAAAGCCGCGGAACGGCGGCTCCAGAGGCTCCAGCTCACAGCAAACGTGGGATACTCGGAGAGCGGATGGACGGAGGAGGCCGGGGGAAAGCGGAGCCAAGGAGGGATTTGCTGGAGCAAATTCACCAGGGAAAGCCACCAGGAACCCCCGGGGACCGGGAGGTGCCAGCAGGGATCACCCCCCGTGGCCACGCAGACCCCGGGACTCGGGCGGGGAAAAGGAAAGGTTTGGAAAACGTCGAGGAGAACGCCTGGAAAACTCCACATTTCCACCCGAATTCCCCTCGACCGCCGCTGCAGCCGGGTCGGACATGGAAGGCAAAGCCAGGAAGAAGGAAAAGGGAAAATCCATGACCTCTGAGAGCACCAGGGACAGCCTGGGACGGCTTCAGCCTGGGACAGCCTCTCCCGCCCGGAGAAAACGAACAGGGATAAAATCAGGGCAAGGAGCCGCTCCATTCTCAGCCCTGGGACCCCTGGAATTCCCAGCCCTGCCCAGCACCTGGGACTGGGATTGGGATTGGGATTGGGATTCGATTGATTTGTACCAATGCTGGAACCCATTGGGAAGGTGCAAATCTCCTGCTCCAGGAGATCCCAGCAAAGCCAAAAGCTCTGGGAAAAACGGGATTTGGGTGAGTTTAGAAATCTCTGCAATAAATTTTTATAAATATTCCCTATTTACAGCAAACGCTGGGAATGGGAGAGTGGGGAGGGAAGGAGGAGCCAGGAACATGACTGGAACAGCTCCTGCTGCCACCGCTGGAACGCTCCTGCCTGTCCCCGGTGTCCCTCTGCCCCCATTCCATGGATCCATCCCCTCTGGAACGCTCCTGCCTGTCCCCGGTGTCCCTCTGCCCCCATTCCATGGATCCGTCCCCTCTGGAACGCTCCTGCCTGTGCCTAAGGCTGGGGGAGAAACCAGCCACCTCCTTCCCTGAAATCCCAGGGATTTTCATCCCAAGGTCTCGCCTCCTCAGCCTCAGCCAAACGGGAAACCCACAGGAAAGGTTCTGGCTCCCTTGGGACTGGGGAGGGGGGCCAGGTCCTGTTCCTGAATTGGCCATAAATCCATAAATCCCAAAGTCCAGCTGCTCCGGCCCCAGAGCACATCCTTGGATCCCGAGCAGGGAAAGGGGATCCCGAGCAGGGAAAGGGGATCCCGAGCAGGGAAAGGGGATCCTGAGCAGGGAAAGGGGATCCCGAGCAGGGAAAGCCCAGCCCAAGGCAGGCAGCTCCTAATGCCAGCCCCTCCTGCCGTGCCCAGGCCCAAGGCTGGATCCCAGCACCGTTCCCTCCACTCGGGAGCTCTGAGCATTCCCGGGCTTTGCCACTATCGATGGAAAGACAATTTTAAGAGGGAAAAGCTCGTCAGGGAATTCTCTGGGACCGTCTGGCAGAAAATCCCTTTCTACTCCACAAACCCCAGACCCAGCAGGGGAATGTTTATATTCCAAGGGGGGGAATATTTACAGGCCCAGGAAGTTTCCATTTCAATTCCACTACATAATAAAATATTTGGGATTAAACATTAATTCCATTCCATCAGAAAATCAGGAATAATCCTTTCTTTCTGCTGCTTTCAAGCCCAGTTTCTGTACTCAGAGACAGCTCCGATGCCCAGGCTGGAGCCTGGGATCCTGCTGGAGCAGACAGGAAATGGGCACAGAATTCCCGTTCCCTGCCCCATGGACCTTTTCCTTCTCTGCTGTGCAATTCCAACAGGGCCCCGTTCCCACCATCATCCTCACATCCCCAGCCCAGGGAAGGGCCCGGGGGCTCCCGT